AGCGCGGCTCCCCAGCGCCAGGCACGCAGTTGCTGTTATATAAATAATAAGCTGGGTGCCTGCGCCAAGTTTACGGTGACGTGCTCCTCCGCTGGGGCAGTATCGGTCAGTATTGTTCTGCCAGGTTCACACACCTCTCTCTTTCCACACGTGTTACAGGTACGAAAATGACTCGCCTGACACAGGAGCAGGAGTTAGGAGCCATGTCCCTGTGAGACATCCAGAATTTCGATCAAATGCCTGCACAAGTGCAGTTGCACAGAGCAGCAGAGCAGCTCTTGTGAGGCACCAACACCTCTCAGATTTGCTACTCTGGCCCAGAGCACTCTGACAGCATTTCCTACCCCACGAATGGCTACTCAGAGGAAGCACTTAGTGAAAGATTTCAATCCTCATATCACCTGCTACATCTGTAAAGGCTATCTTATCAAGCCAACTACGGTAACTGAGTGCCTCCATACATGTAAGTAGTACTTTGCAAAACATCTATCCTTTGTAAGTGATATTTCCTTAAAGTGTTACACTTTTAATTCGATCTCTATACTGGTTTTTGTTTACTACTTAAGCATTGCATGAAATACTATGAAGTCTCTGGAGGGGGGGGGTGTCCTAGTCACTAGTCTGCTATTTGAGTCATTTTGAGAGCATATATCTACTCTGTTTAGCAGCATGCAGAGCGAAGATACCCCTTTCCTTTCCCCCATGCCAGTGGTGATTGTGCTGGCTTCAGAACCAAACATATATCCCTGTGCCCTGGCTGTTCAGAGGTAAGATTGTTAGGTTGGGTGTGGTATTTTGATAATGTAACCAGGCTGCTACTGAAACTTAAGCACAGCTGTTGGCAGTGTGCATTATGGATGCACCAGTTTGGTCAGTACTAGCTTACGTGTCTCTGTATTGCATAGCGTTCCATGGCACAGTGCGTCGACGCGCGTGGAGGCTGGCAGAACGTTTGTGTAAGAAGTAGATCTCTTTGAATGAGGCTGACTCTGGAAAGACCATTTAGGTTGCCTTGTGCTTATTTGCATTATAGGAATTATTCTATTGCTTCCAAAACATTGATGTGAATGATATTAAACATATGAACGGTCCTGTCAAATTCAGTGGGCCTACTTGCATGAGGTAAATTACTTATATGCTTGAATTTTTCAGATTTGTTCCTGAATACAAAATGGTTTGTTCAGAACTTCTTGAGAATTTGGCATCTTTCCAAATGAAATTTGCATTCTCCTAAAAGAAGAGTAGGGAAACCGTATGTTTTCTGGTAGTTTTCCAATATGTAAACCTTTAATAAATTTTAGTAAGACCCTTGCGTTAGCATTTCCTGACGTTTTTGTGCAATGTTGTTCTTGTAGTTGTTATCGTCTTTAATGGTAAATTTCAAATTATGGTATTATGTCTCTGGTATACCAGTCAAGAGCAAAGAGAATTAAAACATACCATTCCTATATGTTGTTCACAATACAAAGATATTATTGTTTAGCATTATAATAATATTTTTAACTTAGGGTTTTTTTTTAAAACTGTTCTGAACTGCATTTTTTGAAGTCTCTTATCAGCCAAGGGTTGTAAAGTGTTTTGGGGCATTATTCTTCTGCTTTGGGTTAATTGGTAAAGGAATTTTTAAGTTTAGGAGGAGAGAATTAAGCAAAATGTTCTTACAACAATTTTAAATAAAATGGGAGTGAAGTATATTAGCTATAATTAAGGGTTTTTTTGCTTGGAAATGGAAAAAATCCAGCATTAATTTTTTTTTTTTTTTTTAATAATTGAAGCTGCATAAACCATAGTAATTTTTTTAAAGGTTGGGGAGAGGCAAAAAAGTTGTCATCAAAAATCAGCTCAGACTCGGACTTATTTTTATTATAGTATCCTTCTGTCTAGATAATTCATTTATTTACTTTTACTCCCATTACAAAACAGTAATGGCAGAAGCAGTGTTTTTTCTCAACAGCATCTATTTCTCTTGTTCACTTGTAGATTGTGGGCTTTTCACTGAGGAGCCAGACAGCTCTGTTGCTGTCTGGTCCCCAGCTCTGCAACCAGCTTAGTGCAAGTAAAGTTTACTGAGCTTCTTTATAGTTGCACAGGTCTCACCACACAGAAACTGTCACGTATTTGGATCATTAACTAGAAATACAGGAAAATAGGTGACCTTTCTATAAAGGCAAATTTAGTTGCCAAAATTTGAAGTTTGTACTGATAGAAAGGAAAATGAAAAACTTCAGATGTTGTACTAGTAATTACTGTAATTCAAAGAAGTGTTGCACAAATGATCAAAATCTGCATATGCTAGCACTTAAGAGGCAGAATATGTTCACTAGGTGGTGGGAACACAGTTTATTGCTCTGCAAGAGATGAAAATCATGTATTAATGTACATGATTTCCAGTGATCATAGAAGAGCTAATGCGATCAATAGTAACCAAATCAATCAGTGGTTAATTTCATATCTTCTGTGTTTACTGAAAAAATTAAGTGGTAAAGTTCTGCATTGAGAAATGCGTACCTTTTTAATAAGAGATGTTTCTGATGAGAGTTTTGGAAACGTTGAGCTGACAACTGAGGTCCAGCATTTACTAGGAAGAATAAGAGCAACTTTAGGCTTCAGCAGTGCAAACTGTTTGTACTATCTCTTTTTGGAGGGAAATGCTTATAATACTGTAAGAATAATTAATTCTTCTACAACACTCAGTACTTCACTTTGGTTTTGCTCCTGTCATCAGAATTATTTCATCTTTTGGACTGAGACCTCTTTTTCTAGTCTGTTGTGCAATTGTCAAAGATGTTTAAGAACTGCGGGCTCACGTGGGCTAGATGTGAGCTTGAGGGTACGTCCCGTTGTCTGTTTCCTGAGTCACTCCATTGTTTAGCTCAGTGTAAACTTATAAAATTTGAAAAATAAACTTTCCTCGGGAACATTCTTTAGTATCCTAAAATATATCAGACTATTTATACGATCATGCAAATGTTGGTTGGAAAGGACCTCTCAGGTTTTCTAGGCCGACCTCTTGTGTAAAGCAGATCTGTTGCCAACAGTAGACCAGGTCAGCCATCGCTCTATATAGTTGAGTCTTACAAAATTCCAAGAATGGGGATTCCATGACCTCTCTGAATAACCATTTCCAGTTCTTCACTATCAAGCTAGTGAAGAAGTTCTTCTGGATGCCCTACCAAACCACAACTTGTGACCACTGCTCCTTACAACTGTCAAGAAGAGTTTGAGTCCATCACTTCTGTAACTGCCCTTCAAATGGTGTAGGCTGTTATTAGATCAGCTATTAGCCTCAGCTGTGATTTGCTCTTGGTAAATCCCCATTGATTATTCCTGATTACCTTCTTGTCTTTCACTTATGTGGAAATCAATTCCAAGGGGACATGATCCGCCATCTTTCCAGGGAGTTTGGGGGGGGGGGGCGGCTACCTGGCTCCTGCTGCTCTTCTTCCTTAAATATGGGCATAACACTACCCTTTTCCAGTCATCAGGGACCTTCCATAATCAGCACGATTTTTTGTCAATGACAGAAAAAAGCCTCACATCTGCATCAGCCAGCTCTTTCAGTTTAGTGAATCCTGTCCGGCTTACAGATCTGAATACCTCCCAGCTTCTTTAAGTAGACCCTAACCTGCTGCTCCCTGGATGTTGGTTGTCCCTCTCCTTCCCAAATCATGATGGTATATATGGAGATTTGGGATCAGGCTCTGCCTGTGAAGACCAAGGCAAAAAAGACATTGAGGACTTCAGACCTTCTTATATGATCCATCCCTGAGTTGTCTCCCCCATTCATCAACAGACCCACGTTTTCCCGGAACTACTTCAGTACTTCTTTAGCTACTAGCCTGCTTGTAGAATCTCCTTATATACCTCAATAGTTTTAGCTCTGGCTGAGTTATGGCCTTCCAGGTTTTGTCTCTTAAGTATCCTTTTGTTGCTCATCTTTGTTTCCACTTGAATATGCTCTGGTTTCGCGTGTTCATTATGAATCTTTTGCGCTGTAAGTTCTGCCAGAATTCCTTATACAATGGGCTGCTGGTTTGCTCTTGAAGTCTAAATAAGTTTTCTTTAAAAATCAGCCAGCTCTCCTGGGCACCTTTCTTCCTACTGGCAGCCTCCCTGGGAATTCTGACTAGCAGTTGCCTAAAGAAACTGAAGCTCCATCTCCTGAAGTTCAGAGTCCCAACTGCTGTTTAGCTTTTTAGCCTTCCTCCATATCCTGAATTCAGCCAGCTTGCAGTCATTGCAGGGCAAGCTGCTATCTGTGGCTGCATTCATCACCTGGTTTTCCCTGGTGAATAGCAAATCAAGCGGAGCGTTAACCCTAGCTGGCCTCTTTAGCACTTGCATTAGGAAATTGTCAACCAGTGCAGCTTAGGAACTTCCTAGATTGCTTGCACAATGTGTTGTCCACTTAGTAAATGTCGTGAAGACCAAGGTCTATGATTGGGAGACTTCTGCTAGTTTGTTATAGAAAGCTGCAGGCACTTCGTATCCTGGTTGGATCGTCTGTAATAGGAACTCTCGCCACTTATCCGATTTCCCTTGAGGCTCTCAACAGATGCAAGTCTGATTTCATATTGGAACTCACTGCAGTTAAGGAACTCCTTTTCTTAGAAAGTGACTCTCCGTCTTCTTCTTCCCTGCCTCTCCTTCCTAAATATCTTACGCCCATCCATGACAGGGCTTCAGTCATGTGCACTACCCCATCAAGACTCAGCGGTTCCAATCACATCATGGTCCTGTAACTATGCATAATTTTCTAATATTTCTTGTTTGTTGCCCAGGCTCTGTGGATAGTGCACAGACACACCAGGTTAACCTTGGAGTGCGAAAGTTTACATTATACCCTTCTCCGTTGCCCGCCTTCTCCACTGCCTGCCTTCTCCTTTTGCAGTATTTCCTCCCTTAGCTCTGAGCTTATGTTCCTGTCCCCTAATGGTCCTGATTTAAAGCCATGGCTTAAGGCTTAGAGTTTAAGTTACCATAACAGTCTGGAAGCCATTGAAGTATACAGACACCTTTTCTCCTGAGTGAACTCTTCAGTAGGCAGAAGAGCACGTTCTGAGATTGTACAGAGGACAGGATTGTAGCTACACAGTATGTTCTTTTGATCTGGGTGGTCAAAAGCATCAGTCTTGCAAGAGTCATGAAAGGGCTTGGCAATTTATAGGGTTTTAATACCTCTTGGAGCTCTTTATCGCATTTACTTCTTAGTTCTTTCGTGTTGCCAGCCCTCATACTTTTTCAAGCAAAATAATATAACCCTAATTGTTTCTAAGTGCTACAGCAGTTGTTTAACCATGTTTAGGACGACTGACTTCTTGGAGGCCAAGTCCGCTTACTACTTGGCTAACCAAATGAGGGTTGAAAAATAGAACTTAAATTGCCCTCTAGATCTGGAGTCTATCCTTTCTTCGGAAGATATGTATCTGATCCGTCTTTACAATAGCTCTACCATAGCATGGA